CACCAAAATTTTTTTGTTGCGTTGAGTTCGCATGTTAGTCCTCTATTTATTGGTAAATTCATATTTTTGCCCCCGGGACCGGAAAAGTTCAAAAACATTGGTTATCTATCTTACCAAAATATTTAATTTTTTCACAATTTCCAATATTCGAACTCAAAAAAGTTTAAAAAATCGCAGGGAAGCACCAAAATTTTTTCGTTGCGTTGAGTTTTTATATTAGTCCTCTATTCATTGATTAATTCATATTTTTGCCCCCGGGACCGGAAAAGTTCAAAAAAATCTGTTATCTTAACAAAATTTTCAATTTTTTCACAGTTTCCAATATTCGAACCCAAAAAAGTTTGAAAAATCGCAGGAAAGCACCAAAATTTTTTTGTTGCGTTGAGTTCGCATGTTAGTCCTCTATTTATTGGTAAATTCATATTTTTGCCCCCGGGACCGGAAAAGTTCAAAAAAATCGGTTATCTTACCAAAATTTTTAATTTTTTCACAATTTCCAATATTCGAACTCAAAATAGTTTAAAAAATCGCAGGGAAGCACCAAAATTTCTTTGTTGCGTTGAGTTCGCATGTTAGTTGTCTATTTATTGGTAAATTCATATTTTTGCCCCCGGGACCGGAAAAGTTCAAAAAAATCTGTTATCTTAACAAAATTTTCAATTTTTTCACAGTTTCCAATATTCGAACCCAAAAAAGTTTGAAAAATCGCAGGAAAGCACCAAAATTTCTTTGTTGCGTTGAGTTCGCATGTTAGTCCTCTATTCATTGGTAAATTCATATTTTCGCCCCCGGGACCGGAAAAGTTCAAAAAAATCGGTTATCTTACCAAAATTTTCAATTTTTTCACAATTTCCAATATTCGAACCCTAAAAAGTTTGAAAAATCGCAGGAAAGCACCAAAATTTTTTTGTTGCGTTGAGTTTTTATATTAGTCCTCTATTCATTGATCAATTCATATTTTTGCCCCCGGGACCGGAAAAGTTCAAAAAAATCGGTTATCTTACCAAAATTTTTAATTTTTTCACAATTTCCAATATTCGAACTCAAAAAAGTTTAAAAAATCGCAGGGAAGCACCAAAATTTCTTTGTTGCGTTGAGTTCGCATGCTAGTTGTCTATTCATTGGTAAATTCATATTTTTGCCCCCGGGACCGGAAAAGTTCAAAAAAATCTGTTATCTTAACAAAATTTTCAATTTTTTTACAGTTTCCAATATTCGAACCCCAAAAAGTTTGAAAAATCGCAGAAAAGCACCAAATATTTTTGTTGCGTTGAGTTCGCATGTTAGTCTTCTATTTATTGATAAATTAATATTTTTGCCCCCGAGACCGGAAAAGTTCAATAAAATTTTTTAATTTTTTCACAATTACCAATATTCGAACCCAAAAAAGTTCGAAAAATCGCAGGAAAGCATCAAAATTTCTTTGTCGCGTTAGGTTCTCATGTTAGTCCTCTATTCAGTGGTAACCTCAAGTTTACCATGAATCCACGATAAATATGGTAAAAATGTAAATATATCTTCTGTTCCTCATTTTGGGATTCAAGGCACACCCTGGTATGACACCCGGTACAATGCTTAAAACATTTGGCTGGAATTTTGCTGGCATTGCGGTGGCTTGTAAACATTACCGTACTTCGTTTTCGCATTTTTGAACTCTATTCGTTAGTTTTTAGTTGTGTTTCGGAAACCTAAATATAAATCAGATAATTTAATGATCACTCTGTCTTCTTAGGAGTTTTAATTTTAATTGCAGTAATAAAAAATTAGTGTGGAAATAGCCTAGACTAGGCTAAAATTCTCTACCGGTTGGCTACTTTTAAAAAACAGATTGTTGTATGCGATGAATCATAATGATGGTTTGAAACACATACCCCATTTTACAGGTGCCAACTCGCAAAAGCATTCTTAAAATAGCCCCGAAAATTTTGCAATGGAAACATTTTTCTTTCATTATTTATTAGCGTCTATGAAATTTTGAACAATTCGATGGGGAGCAGCATACAGTAGGTAGTAGAGAATGATCCCAAGTTTACACAGTATGTGTACCGGTACCGTACCAGGTTAGGGTGTGTCATGAAGTATGTGCACCAAGATGACGCACAACCTGAACACAGTACCGGTATGTGTACCAGGTTAGGGTGCGTCATGTTAGGGTATTTAGAGATTTTGAAAATTACGGATATAAACGTGATCATTCCCTACCGGTACCACCACTGTATACTGTTTCCCATTAAATTGTTTAAAATTTCACGGACGCTAATAAATATGGTACGGTAATGAACGAAAAATGTTTCTATCCCTTCTTCGCTTGTTCCCTCTCTTCTGTGCTGTTTCGCGCTCTTCTGCGCTCTATTCGGTAAGACCTACTATACCGGTACCGGTACCTGTATAGTCTACTAAAAACATTATCGGCAGGGCAGAAAGTCAGTTCTGCTATTACAAAACTTCAATCTAGTAAAGTCAGAAAGTAGAACAATAACACGATGACAGCAATGTAAGCCATTTAAATGCGGATGTTGAAAAATATTTAGTGCAATAAACTGTGAAAAAAAAAGAAACAACAGGAAGAGAGATTCACCGCACGCAATACTAGATATCATCAAATTTAACTTGATTTCAAATAAACAATGTTGCACGTCATATAAGGAACCTGTTTCGGCTTCAAAAAAATATGTACAGCAGAAACATATGGAAATCCCTCTGAAGCAACTGTAGCAACAACATCAACTTCAAATGATCTTCGAAATCTACTATGGCAGTATGGCATAATATAATAAACTATTTGTAGCCTACTCTTGTTTTGTTTATTTTTATTAAATTTAGTAACTTTATATTTAGATATATTTTTTGGATGTTTTGTTTTCCAATCTCTGAATCTAGATATTTTTTGAGGTCAATCTAGATGATTTTTTTTCAGACAAAAGTGGCAGCCCTAGTGGCATTGCTGGATTGTTAGTCAAGGATTTTTCATTGCAATTCTGCATTGGATATTTTGACTGCAGCAATCACCAAATACTGCCACTGCAGCACTGTGCCGAATTACTGTTGTGCAGCAGTGGGCTAGTAGTCTACTCTTATTATAACTTACCGACTTAGGTTATAACTTAGGCTACAGTTAGCTTAAAACTTAGGCTACATAATTCTCTAATTGATGGAATTTGTTATACATATATACAGATATAGGGCTACCTATAAATAAGCCGCCTTTGTGAAATGGAAATGTGAAATACTCTATGTGAAATGGTTATAAAATTAGTATTGTTATGTGCAAAGGTCGTGGGACAGAATGCTACTTTGCTTACGAAAAAGCAATTTCATGATGCTATGCAGTCAATGTTACCTTCTGATATAACATCTCAGATTTTTATGGGCCTTCCATTGAATATTCTGATCGAATTTGAAATGAAATTTCCTCAGCATTCTATTGCCTTTACAAAGACATGGAATATGTTGTGCAAGAAATGTTACAATCGATCTGTAATGCTTAGAAGAAAAATTAAAAATATTTCTCAAAAAGATGATGGTTCCAATTTAGAATATACAGGCCATAAGTTAACGCTTTTATCTGTGTACTTCAAAGAACTAGTTGATATCTGCATTCGTGACGCATCAGTAAAGACTATATCAAAAAGGCCTGCTTATATTTTACAAGAGTCACTAACTTTTAATAAGCACAACATATCGGACAAGGAAATGCTATCTCTGATATCGAAATTTGTTACCGAAATATCTGTGTTTGAAAGGCAATTCAACTTTTTGATAAAATGCATGAATGAGAACTCCAACTTCTTTCGAAATGTTTGTAGTATCTCATTGTTAGTCAAAGATGGTTCATGTTGTGGAAGTTGTAGGAATTTTCTCAAATCCATATTTAAACGATCTAATGTAAAACAGTTAACGATTTGTACTCGAAGTGGCAGTGAGATGGCCAACATTTTGGAATTGTGTTCAGAAACGAACAAATTACAAAATAAACGCTTATGTATTTGGGATGAAGCAGTGATGGATGAGAAGGAAGATGTCACTCCAGCTTTCATTGAAACAATTTCAAATGATGGTATTTACGACAGTTTCTTTACTTCTTCAGATGAAAATCATGCATTGATTTCTGTTCCAAATGTTAAAAATGTGTATAATATTACCGAATTGACGATAATTTTTGACAATTCAGTGGTGACCAATTGCTTCAGCAATTGCTTGAAATCGTGGTTTTGTTTAAGCAATATGACTGTTGTTTTCATTCGTCGTGTTTGGATACAGGAAATACCATCAGCATGCGTCATGCCAGAGTGTGTGGATTTTGTTACTGGGCTGGAGAAACTATGTAGCAGTAATCAATCTTGTCTTAAAATAATTAACATAAAAAATGGAATATGGACAATAGAACACTTGAAAAATATTGCAAAATCTTTAAATAAGACAAATATTAAAGGAAAAGAAATAACATTTGAGGGCTGTTTGATTGGAACAACTTCATCTGGTACTGATTCATTTACATACGATATTTGTAGGAACAGCACAATTCTAAATTTAGAAGCCCAGGACATTATGTTTTCCTCTAATGCAATAATCCCAATTTGTTTAAACATTTTTATTTATTACTTTAGACCTAATGTCTTGACAATGCTATCAGTTAGAGATAGTTTTTGGAACTGTGACCCCCTGTTTTCCCACATAGTCAGTGTATTAGAAAATTATAATATTTCATATTTTTCTGATATCAAGTCTTTAAAATTTGATATTGAGCCTAATGTCCAATGTTCTACAATATCCTCTTTATTACAAAAATTATATTCCATGAAACATGACAAATTTCTGGACCTTACTCTTACCATTTTTCATAGTGGAAATTTTGTAAGTTCAGAATACAAGATACTGAAACATGGGTTCCCCAGTTTCAAGGATGTTATTTTTTGTTCTAAAAGTCATTCTGTTGATTCACTTGCTCTATCTTCGACTGAAGATTTTGTTTCACAAATGTAATCTTGCATTTCTATGTTTATGATTATTCAAATAATTAAATTTGAGGTCATATAACTAAATAAAGTATCTATTTTGTTTTAATAAAAACTGCACAGGTATTATGCTAGCATTGCTAAAAATACTCTGTCAAAATGATATTTGAAGCAAAGGCTTCATTAACCACTTTTGTTGCATGCTTATTATGGAGTGTGCTGTATATCCCACGTAGCACAAATGGACATTTCATTGCAACATGTATTTATTTTTTTCTGCTGATATCTTCTCATCTCTACGTTATCATATTTGTTTTGAAGAGTAACTTTTCGGTAAGTGAACTAACATGTTGTGATCACTCATAAAAATCTAATAAAATTTGATTCTTTCGTTAAGTCATAGGTATGGATAATATTGCCAATGGTTGTTTTAGGATAAGTTATTAAAATTATACCTTTGATAAGACTGGTGCACAATAAGATTTTTATGCACTAGGTTACATTTCACAATTTTATTTCTTACATTGAAATTTGCAAATGTCATGTTTTACAGATATTCTGGCGATCATATGGAATTGGCGGAGTTTTTCTACTTGGGCTTGCATTAATTTTTCATGGACCACAGCAATTTCTGGCATTCGGACTGTATCTATGCATTGTTGCATTTTTTCACATCTCGGAATATCTTGCCACTGCTCTATTCAATCCATCAACTCTAACATTAGATTCATTTTTAATCAACCACAGTTTCGCATACAACTTAGCACATCTACTTTGTGTCATTGAATATGTAGCCTGGTGCTGGCTTTATCCATGTAAGTAGCTTGATGAACCTCTTTCTCCTTGTAGGATATGTTCTGAAGGTTTGTGGAAATTAGGTTCAAGGGCACTCTGTGAGTAGTTGATATTTCAAAAGTGATCAGTGACATGAAATTTGTGTGAAAATTTCTAAAATGAAATCCATGACATATAATATTCGAATAAGAGGGTGCTCCAGAAGTATGCGCACCAAGATGGTACACAACCTGAGTTCAGGTTGTGCGCCATCTTGGTGCGCATACTTCAGGAGGTCCAATAAGAGAAAGTCTTATTACTAGCGGACATTTTTTATTTTTTCAGCCATCAAACTTTGTACTTCAATTCAAATACTTGGAATCGGTTTATGCTTGTTTGGTGAAATATTTCGTAAAGCAGCTATGTATACTGCAGGTAAAATTTTGCCTTTTTAAGTTTTTTTGAAGTGGTTCACAACATTTTATGGCTGGTGGCCCCCTACTGAAAGCTTTTATCACTCGTGGCCTAAGGTGAATGGGGAAGAATGCATTAATATCAATTTAGCGCCTAGTATTGTGGCCCCCCACCAGCTGCCGTGGCCTCCCAGTTGGAAACCACTGCTCTATTGTGTTCATCAAAATTGTGATTCATAACAATTTTACAGGAATAAATTTTACACACCTGATTCAGTATCAAAAAAGAAGAGAACATGAACTTGTTACTTCTGGGATTTATTCTATATGCCGTCATCCCTCCTATGCAGGATGGTTTTGTTGGAGTATTGCCACGCAGGTATGTTCCAATTTTTCATGCATGCCTATATAACAATATTTCTGCATTCTCAGTATATCTGTAAAAAGCAGCGCATTGAGGTGAAAAGTGCTGCAGGCTTTCTTCATTAGAGTCATTTCTATGAAGTAGGTTTTAGACATTATGTACCACAATCATTGGATAGTTACCATCTAAGAAACTTACAAGCAGATTTTGGTGAATGTCTTGCAGCAAGAACTTGCTCAGTGTGATAGCAGTAGGCAATGGATGAGCTTAATTGATTTTAGGGTGACTTCTATGATCTGCTGCATTATTCCTCTAACGATTCACTCCCAAAATTTACGAAAAAATATATCTCAAATTTTGCTTCTGTTATGTGCATTCAACAGAGTAAATGTAGTTATTTAATTTGGATTTCATGTTTTACTTATCATGTTTCTTGTCTTATGAATATTATTTTTATCATTTTCTGCAGGTTTTGGCTTGCAATCCAGTTTGCTTCATTGGATATGCAATTGTATCATGGAAATTCTTCGATGAAAGAATCTATGAAGAGGAAGCATTGCTTTTGAATTTCTTCCAGTCAGATTATTTGACTTATCAACAAAAAGTACCCTCAGGGGTTCCCTTTGTAAAAGGTTTTCACTTGAAACCTCATGATAGGTGATATTATATCCAACTTGTTATAGTTTACATGAAACGTTCAATATTTAACCACTGTTTTTTATTGTCTTAATTGGTATAAGTTTTGATCAGCTGAATTTTTTTCACACCGATTATAACTCAAAAGTTTTTAATGAATTATTTTTCATCCATTCATTACTGAGTTGTTATGGTGATTACTGATTATTTATTGTTAATTTCAGAACAGTGATTAGTTTTTTACTGTATTTAAAATACCCACTGTATATATCGAATGTGAGAAATAAACCGAAAATAGCATTTCACAGTGTGGAATAAACAAATATTGTACTAGTTATCCAGCAGCGGCGAACTTGACAAGTACAAGCCTCAAGGCGACCAGACTTTCATCGTCTTCACTCCTCAATGAACACCAGAAGATGTTGTCAATTACATATTAATAAACGGTGGCACGCGGGCCGATGTGACACGTGGACACATTCTGTGCGGCCCGCAGAATGATTACTAAACCATTTGCAGATATTTGTATTCATTGGCAGAACATATTTGATTTTTTAGCTATTTCTACTTGGACTGGGATCTCGAGATTTGAACCCTTTTCCTAATCCCGACGTCGGGAATGATGTTTGATAAAATCACTGGATTTCAATGTATCTATAAACGTCCAGACCGTGCTGACATGGGAATGACGTCCTGTGATCGGTACAAGGAGAATGAATTGTCACCCACCCGATGAGAAGAGTCGCATTAACTTCGCTTATTCACTTAACTTCGCATCAATCAACTCCTTATTTGGAGAGATGTTCACTTTACACCCTCTCTATTTTCAAGCGTGGGCCATGTGACAGCAGTGCCAGTGACGAAACGCTGAGCTGACTCAGCGTCGCGCCATCCATTTTTTTGAAGCTAGGTCCCGAAGTTTGGCGGATTTCTCGGACGGTTGTTCTTTGACGATCGCGCTAGGCCTGCTTACCCTGCAGGTTATAAAATTAGTTAAATATAATAAATAAAATGAAAGGAAGGTGAAAGAAAAATTGGGAGGAAACGCATTTCCTTGCCCACAACAACGGTAAACCACAGCGTCTGGTGTGCTTCCAAGTAATATCTGTCACGAAAGAATATAATTTGAAGCGACATTACAAAACCAAGCACTAGAAAAGATATGGAAAATACAACGGTACGGTACTCCTCGTGAAGCAATTTTAGAACAACTAAAGTTTTAATATATCTTCCTTGAAATAAAGAACGCCACCCACGCAACGTAACAACGGTAAACTCTCATTCTTTGGCATATTTACAGTGAGCAAACTCGCGATATTTTGATTACTTTTGGGTTAACTGCGGCCCGCGAGAACTTCTCAAACGTTTTTGCGGTCCTCCAACCTCGTAACCTTGGTTGGACCATTCTGGTAGAAGATTGTAATGTCATAGCGGGGATCTTCGGAATTCTAGTTCGATTTAATTTGTCGTCGTGAACCTGATCCAACGATGTCCAGAAATAGGTTGTTTGCAATATTTACCGTCATTTCCAAATTGTAAAACATCACGGTTGGTCTGCGATACGTAAAAATAACGGAAGTTATTATATAACCGTCCGAGCTAAAACTACGGCGAAGGAGATAATCGAATTTTTGGCGCAAGTGAAACCGTTTGTCATCACATTTCATGAATATGCTTTGGAAACAATACACCACGACGCCCTTCAAAAAGACAAATTCACTTTCCTGGTTCAAAATCCATAACGAGTTACTGACATGGGACCTCTCTAACGAATATGCAAAAATGAATTCATTGAGATTTCCAGGATTACACGGGGAGTTTCAGAGTAGTCCAGTCGGGGCTGAATTTATACATCCCATTCCTGCCATAGTTGGTTTATCTTGAAATTCAATGGGTCGCCTCGTTGTCAGGAACTTCAACAAAATTAAGACATCATTGATTTTTATGGAAATTAAACATTCCTAAGGTCGGTGGAGTCGTATGTACGACCTGTCGAATATTTGCTTATTTTTCGACGTAACGGGGCGTGGGTCCCGGACACGCAGAAAAGATGGAAATGGCAGGCATGGATTCTTTATGTAGGCCTACTTCACCAATAAGGGGTATTGGTGTAGCGAGGCGTGATTCGAATGAGTGGTTATCAATATGTATGAAACAAAAATCCGGGACAGTGCTGATTGGAAAAACCTTGGTTTGATATCGAGACTCGGTAATATTCAGCACGTATCAATATAATCAATATTAAGATCATTGCAAAGTGTATATTTTTTTGGCTTTTGAATAGTTTAACGTCAGTCCAGCTAACGTTAGAGGATAAATTAACTTATTAAACTTGGCATTTTGAAATATTTGACGGCAGTACAGCTAACGTTAGAGGATAAATTGACGTATTAAACTTATAACGTTAATAATTATGACATAACTATACATTAGTTCACTCTCTCACACTGAACAAGTTAAGTCAATCAATCAATCGTTTATTTTGTCATCACAAAAAACAACTTCGAACAAAAAATGACACAATGAATAAATTACAGTACTAATTATGTTTTTTGCGTGACCGGAGTCGCGAGGGACCTAAGAAGGTCTTCAAGCAGCGACACCTACAGCGCTATTACAGGTCAGAATAAACATAATTGAATGAGTGATAAAAAGAATAAATCCTAGGAATAAGTCACAACTGATACAAATACATAGACATTCGAAATATATATTTGAGATTATGACACAGTAAAACAGAAAATGTAACTATCTCGGAATAATTACTAACAACTAATAAAAATGCGAGGAAAGGAAGATAAAAGCATAGGAAAGGCAAGTTTGGTGGAATATGCAACTAAAAGCAAGATAAGACAAAAATGCAATTTTGGAGACTCTTACGAAAAACTGATAGAGTTTAATGAGGATTACAAACCAACTATAATATTTATATGATGCACATAATAAATAGGAAAAGATAAAACGGCCAGATCATTTGAAAACAAGAGAGCTATGCACAAATATGGACACGTCTGTTCGCAGTACATGACGGTTTACCGTACCGTCAGATCACAGTCTACAAATATATTCACACCAAGCGAAGCAGTACAGTAGGACACAAAACGGCGTCCGATGTCCGCAGAACGTTTAATGACGTCATAGCAAACAAAAACAAATCTCACAGAGCTAACAGAAATATTTAAAATGAATAAAAGTAATAGCCTTCTGGGGAAAAATTTTATCTTCAACCACTGAAAATTTCAAAGCAATTGGTCCAGTAATCCAAGAGAAAAGCGACTTTTTAAAAACGTGTCAAAGAACAAGAACAACAACATAATATTGAAACGATCGCTATGTCACTACGTGTCCAATAATAGAGAACGTAGAATAAGGGCAATAAGCTATCGCGCTCCACTCTGAACGATTCTTGACCCAACTATTAATGTAGCAGATATTCTCGGATTCCGACTCCTTGCACCTATTTTCGTTCGGGTTGTTTGACGTTAGCCAGTGTAGCCAGTGTTCCTGACAACGAGGCGACCCATTGAATTTCAAGATAAACCAATTATGGCAGGAATGGGATGTATAGATTCAGCCCCGATTGGACTACTCTGAAACTCCCCGTGTAATCCTGGAATCCTCAATGAATTCATTTTTGCATATTCGTGCAGTTAATAAAAAGTGGGTGATCTTAGTCGCAATTTCAATGGTTGCCCGTACCGGTATAGGAGGAGAGATAATTACCGATATATTTTTTTAGGTCTCTTTTAAAGGCACAATATGCTAGGGATCTAATGGTATTAGGTAAAGCGTTTCACACCTACATATTTAATGGATTTCTGTGTTCTGCTCGAGGAGTACCTTGGGGACTGGAGTGAACCTAATGAATCCGATGTGATTGAGTAGGAATGGATATTACGCTTCGTAAAAAATTCAGTGAATGCCATGGGAAGTTTGTCATCAAAATACTGGTGCATGAGTTTCAATACCTCAAATTCATGAATATGACCAAGTTTAATTATTCCACATCTGTGGTATAAAGGATCTAGTCTAGACCGAAATGGCGCGTTACATATGGATCGAACTGCTTTGTTTTGTAAAACCTCCAATCTTCTAAGGAGAGTAGTCGATGCGTTACCCCATGATATGATACCATACTGTAGATATGACTGGAAAAGAGAAAAATAGACCATTCGATGAACTGGCAAGGTAAGAAATTTTCTAAGTTTGTATAACATACCAGTTGCACTGGCCAGCTTTCCAGCAACATAGTTAATATGGGTGGCCCATTTCAATTGATCATCATTATGGATGCCAAGGTATTTGAATAAGTCCACATTTTCGAGTAGAGATTCATTAATGCTAATCTCAAGTCGAATTTTATTTTTACTATTATTTTTGTGGCTAATCAATAGGCATTTAGATTTTTCGACATTAATCGTGAGTTTATTGTTTGTCATCCAAGTTGAAATTTTATCCACTACAGAGTTCATACACAATTCCAAATCGCTCGGAGAAGCTGAACTTCCAAACAATCCGGTATCATCAGCAAAGAGTTTGACAAGCAAGTTAGTGGCATGCGGAAGGTCATTGACGAAAAGCAGAAACATTAACGGGCCAATTATCGAGCCCTGTGGAATTCCACATTGTACAGTTGCAAGTTCGGAGCAACTTGATCCGATTTTTACACACTGCTGGCGAGAACTCAGATAGCTCTGAAAAAATTTTGACGCGTGGCCGCGAAAACCATAATGGCTCATTTTTCTAATTAGTATGCTTAGTATGCTATGATCAACGGTATTGAATGCCTTTTTAAGGTCAAGAAAAATGGGACTCATAAATTCCCTTCTCTCTAACTTATAGAAATAAGAAATCATATCGAGTATTGCATGATAAGTGGAGTGTTGTTTTTGGAACCCAAACTGGGATTTGTTTATAATGCGATGTCTTTCAATGAATTCGGTTAGTCTAGCATGTAAAAGCTTTTCAAATACTAAAGTCAATTGGGATAGAACTGATATTGGACGATAATTTAATGTACATTCTTTATCCCCAGATTTATACACCGGTGAAACTTTGGCAGTTTTCAAACTATGCGGGAAAAGTCAATAGAGGCATTAAATATTTACATAGCAATGGGGAAACTATGTCAACAGCATATTTTAAAAATTTTGCTGGAATATTATTATAACCAACTGATTTATCATCAGGTAAACTTGCTATTGTATAATATACTTCATTGACAGGTATTGGTCTCAGAAAAAAGACTCTTTTATGGGGTTCTTAAGGTTGCTCAAAAAA